TCTGGCGAGGGCACGCACCCTATAGCAAAAACCTCTCAAAAAGAAAAAAAAAAAAAAAAAAGAGAGAGAGAGAGGGAGAGACATGCCTGGCATGTATGCTTGCATACCCAAAATTCCAGCATGATGGAGAAATGGAGAAGAGATTGTGGCATGACTATGCCCTGTTGGGAGTTGCTTTCTCCACCTCCCTCTCTCCTTCTCTCTCTGATGAGCCAACATATCATTTAGGAAAATTAAAAAATAAAAGTTTAATCATCACTATATAATCTTTTATATTCTTCAGATGTTTTAGAAAATGAAGGTTACTTGGGGCCGGCAGGTGGCGTGGCGGTTAAGGGTGCTGGACACTCCCACATGGCCAACCATAGTTCAAGTCCTGGACCTGGCAGCTTGCTTTCTCACTTTCTCCCTCTTTCTCTCTGTCCCTCTCTGGTCAAAGCATAAATAAATAAATAATACTTTAAAAAAAAAAGAAAAGAAAATGAAGGTTACTGCTACTCAAAAAGATAAAATTAAAAGAAATTTTGGACCAACCAGGTGGAACAGAGTTTAAGGCAGCTGGATGCCATATGGCTGAGTGTGCAGTTCGAGTCCCAGACCTGATGGCTTGGAAAACATGGCAGGCACATGTGTGGCCCAAATCTCCTGAGAATGGAGAAGGGATTATAGCATGGTCATCCTCCCTGAGGAATGATTTCTCACCTTTCCCCTCTCTTTTTTTTTCTCTCTCTCTGGCGAGCATATGTTCTCTATAACAAAAACTTAAAAAAAAAAAAAAAAAAAAGAGTCAGAGAAAGAAATCTGGCATTCTAACCACATGGAACATATCCATTGCTAAGGATCTCTCTCCATTGTCTCTGTAACAATCATTATTTCTCTCTCTCCATTGTCTCTGTAACAATCATTTTTTTAAAAGAATTATTTTATATAGCTTTATTTACTTATCTATTTTAATTTGACAAGAGAGGGAGAGAGAGAAAGTGAGAAAGCAAGCTGCCAGGTCCGGGACTTAAATCATGGTCAACCATGTGGGAGCCTGGTGTTCCAACGATCATACCACCTACCGGCCCCTCCCAATCATTATTTATTTATTTATTTATTTATTTATTTATTTATTTATTTATTTATTTATTTATTTATTTATTTATTTATTTATTTATTTATTTATTTATTTATTTATTTATTTATTTATTTATTTATTTATTTATTTATTTATTTATTTATTTATTTATTTATTTGAGGTTTTTGCTATAGGGC